AAAGAACTTATCAAACTCAACACCCAAAAAAACAATCCAGTGAAGAAATGGACAAAAGACATGAATAGACACTTCTCCAAAGAAGACATCCAGATGGCTCACAGACACATGAAAAAATGCTCAACATCAGTCATCATCAGGGAAATACAAATCGAAACTACAATGAGATATCACCTCACACCAGTCAGAATGACTAAAATTAAAAACTCAGGCACCAACAGATGTTGCCGAGGATGTGGAGAAAGAGGATCTCTTTTGCACTGCTGGTGGGAATGCAAGCTGGTGCAGCCACTCTGGAAAATAGTATGAGGTTCCTCAAAAAGTTAAAAATAGAACTACCCTACGACCCAGCAACTGCACTACTAGGTATTTATCCAAGGGATACAGGGATGCTGTTTCAAAGGGGCACATGCACCCCAATGTTTATAGCAGTGCTGTCGACAAAAGCTAAAGTATGGAAAGAGCTCAAATGTACATCAATGGATGAATGGATAAAGAAGATGTGGTATATATATACAATAGAGTATTGCTCAGCACTCAAAAAGAATGAAATCTTGCCATTTGCAACTACGTGGATGGAACTAGAGGGTATTATGCTAAGCGAAATTAGCCAGAGAAAAACAATATCATATGACTTCACACATATAAGGAATTTAAGATACAAAACAGATGAACATAAAGGAAGGGAAGCAAAAATAATATAAAAACAGGGAGAGAGAAAAAACATAAGAGACTCTTAAATACAGAGAACAAACAGAGGGTTGCTGGAGGGGAGATGGGCTAAATGGGTAAGAGGTATTAAGGAATCTACTCATGAAATCATTGTTGCACTATATGCTAACTTGGGTGTAATTAATAAATTAATTAATTAAAAAAATTTTTTTCTAGGGTCTCCTGGGTGGCTCAATCAGTTAAACGTCTGACTCCTGATTTCAGTTCAGGTCATGAGCTCACGGTTCATGGGTTCAAGCTCCAAGTTGGGCTGTTAGCACAGAGCTTGCTTGGGATTCTCTCTCTTCCTTTCTCTCGGCCCTTCCTCCACTCTCTCTCTCTCTCTCTCTCTCTCTCTCTCTCACACACACACACACACACTCTCTCTCTCTCTCAAAATAAACTTTAAAATAGAAAACAAAAATTTCTAATATCTACATTTAAAAGGTAAAAAGAAACTGGCGAAGTTCACTTTAATATTTTTTATTTAATCCAATATATCAAAAACTTATCCTAACATGAAAACAAAATTGCTAATGAGATCTTTTACTTTTTTTTTTTTTTATAAAGCTAAGTCTTCAAAATCCAGTGTATATTTTACACTTATAGCATGTCTCAATTCAAATTAGTCCTATTTCAAGCCCTCATTAGCTACATGTGGCTAGTGACTATCACACTGGACAGAGTGATTCCAGAAAAACTTAATGCATTCCACTGAAAAAGAGAAGAGATAACCTTCCAAGGAGTATCTGGGTAGCTCAGCTGGTTAAGTGTCTGGCTCTTGATTTCAGCTCAGGTCATGATCTCACAGTCGGGGAGTTCAAGCTTCATGTTGGGCTCTGAGCTGACAGCATGGAGCCTGCTTGGGATTCTCTCTCTGCCCTTCCCCAGCTCATACTTTCTCTCTCTCTCAAAATGAAA